TCTTTACACTATCTGCAGCAAACTGACATGCAAGCAAGCCAGCAAGGGGCTGATAACAGTGCTTATCACCTCGTCAGCAAAACAATGGCCTCTCTCCATTAGTTCAAACTCTTCTTAAACAGCTTGACAGCTGACCTGTTGATTAGCTCCAAAAAGCCCTAACCAGTCATTCTGTCCATTGATTCTAGTGAAATTGGAGATACTCGCACACAGAGACACTGCTCAGCTTTAGGTAGCATACCACATGCCTAGGTCCATGGGTCTGGGATCCATGCTGTGGGAGATGGGAGGGAGGGAAGGGGGGCTTCCTGCTTGACCAGTGAGCAGCGATGGGGGTGGTAGGGCACGGGGAAGCCAGGGAGACCCTGCTGTACCTGCAGTCTTTGCTGGAGCTCCAGCCAGGGAGCAGAGGGGAGGGGCCAACCCTGCTGTGGAGCAGAGATCCCTGATCAGCCCAGACAGCATACCAGGATGCTGGGGGAGTCTGGTTTATCTTAAACCAGCAAGGGGTCTGGGACAGACATTGCACAAACCGGTTTGACCCAAATCAGTTAAATCTGATACTATATTCAACCATGTTTATCTCAAACTAGTTTCAGCTATTTCAAACTGGTTTATGTGCACGGAACATCTATTCTGTTACAGGTTTAAATCAGTTTATGATCACTTAAACCAGTTTATGTGTAATGTCTGTCCCCAGCCTTAAGGTCAATTTGCCACACAGCCAGATCTGAGCACAGAGTCAGGCTGGTGCATGGCTGGATCCAGGTACATGGGGTCAGGCTGGTGAATGGCCCAATCTGGGTGTGTGGAGCTGGGCCAGCATGCTGGATCACACCCATGGGCAGACCCCATGCACTCACCTGTCACAGATCTGGCCTGCAGAGCTGAAAGGTTGGGCACAATTTATATAACCAGAGGCCCAATTTAGGAACAGGGTCTCTATACTGTGGTCCCAACAAGGCAATGGAAATTCCTGACTTTCCAACTGGTCAGAGTCTCTGTATCATGCCTGCCAATCTCTGAACAGATAAGAGTAGCTTTACATTTAAAACAAATCCGTGGTAGCTTGTTCAGGAAATAGAAGGGTTGATCCTCCCTTAGTTTTCTTGCCCATTATAAACATCAACTATATCCAAGCCCCACCCACCAAACTTTAAAGCTAAATACAGAGTGGGCACCTGAAAAATTCAAGTGAACATCTAAAATGGGTTTGAAACAGCATCTCCTAGTGCAGAAATAAACACCCAGAAAACCTGTCATTACCATGATTAAATGGCATAGTAAGCCACTGACTAGAGCAGATAAGTCAACCTTTTGGGGCATCAGATAAAACAATGGGAAACCTTATGTCTTGAGGAATGAGAAAATGACCAAGGGAAAAAAGACATTAAGAAACCAAATAAAACACCTAACCATCCGGAGACACAAACTCTTCCAGATAAATAAACGAAGGGATGTGCTGCTATAAATGGACTGTAATTCTCCAGAGTGTCAGCAGAGCTCTTGTGGCACAAGGAACAAACTAATTACTTGTCAGCTGTTCTAGTTTGGCCTGGGGTGGATGGCAGCAGTAAGAAGGGAAAGCCGCTGCAATTGCATCATGTCCTCAGGCTCATCTGGTCTGGTTTTTCAAAAACTGTTGCTGTTTTATTACCCATTAACATTTGCACTAGCAAATTTCATTTCTTCTCCTCCCACCTCTGCCAAGATCCCTAACAGACTCCTAAACAAATAAATAAATAAAGGTTCATGCAGTCAATTTCATCAAGCAGATGCACCCCCAATGCTGTTTCTCTTCAAGTCATATCTTCATCATTTCTCTGTGGCTGCAGTGATACATTATGAAGAATATCATCAACAATCTGAAGGTGAGCAAGAGCTTGGGACCATTTTCATCTTCAAAAATGCAGAGAGTAAACAGACATCTTTGGTCAAATCTCAATGGATTGACCAGACAAGATGGTCGTCTCAGAGTAAACCAATTCCGTTGTATTAATAAAGAGCAGCCAAATCACTTCTTGCAGTATATTTTGTTGTAATACAAATACTTCCAGTGAGCAGCTGACAAAAATGCTAGGTGCAGGGAAAGAACAGCTTACATACATGAAATTAAGCTTTAACTGTTAAAAAGACTTATGTGACCATGTGCGATTATGTCTGGGGGACAGAACCTTCCCATTGTCATCTCTAGATGTTTCACTATCTTGTTCTGCCATAGCCACAATTCTCCAGACAGCCATCTGGCAAATCTACCACAGGCCTATTCCTCTCAGGACCAGATCCCGATTTAGCAATACATGTCCCAAGCAGGGCCGACCAGAATCCCATGATCCTTAACAGCATTTCCCAGGTGCTACCAGTCTGAAATGAGGGATTAGAAGCTAAACATAGCCCTGTCCATCTTCTGCATTTGCCAAAGGACCTTTTGGGTGATGAAAGAATACACCTCTTAAAATGTGCAGGATGAAATACTAACTTAGCTCAAGTTTAAAATGTGTATATCACATCCTCAGCACATATAAACTGTGCTCCTTCATTCATTCATCCTTTCTTGATGGACTCGTTCATCTTTCTTTGTTCTCTCTATATCTCATCCATATTATTGCCATCTCTCTCTAACTCACCCTTAATTTTCCCTTTCCCTCTCCCTCTTCCTCTTTTTATTTCACACACTGCTCTCACACTCTCAGTGAAGGAAAGGAAAAGGAAGAAAAAGAGGGAGAGAAAAGAAAACAGAGAAAGTGGAATGTATTGTGTTACCTGGGGGAAAGGGGGAGCTTTGACATATGTTTCAGGAGACGTTCCAGCTGACTCAGCCAAAATCCCTTCTGTTGGCCCCAGCTGCAGGTTGTCCTCATTTCTCTACAGGCCCAGGCCATCTAGGGTAGTATCAGCCTAAACTACTTTTTTCTTCAGTGGGTGCTACAGTACGGATATGCAAGGCCCTTAGGGCAAATTCAGATGCAACGTAGGCAGGTAGACTATCAACAGAGTCAATGAAGTTTCAGCTGCTTGTGCAAAGCCTGGATTTGCCCTATGTGAGCTTCATGCTATTAGATCCATAATCAGTTCCCATCACCTTCCCATACAGATTTCTACAACCTGGAATCATCCTTCTCTACCTGTCTCCCATTCTAAACAAATATCAAGAAAAGGTGGTCACTGTTAAAAACAGACCTTGCACATACATAGAACACCTTTTTTCCAAAGCTTGCCAAAGTTTTTTAAAAGCATTTTAAGCCTCATAACAACCTTCTAAGTTAGGTAAGTACAGTTGACCCCATTTTAGCAACAGGTAAAGCCAAGTCTTATACAAGATCACAGAGGTGCTGAGTATGTGGGGGCCTGAGGGCCCTGGTCCCCCTCAGGAAGAGGGCTGTCACCTGAAATGCATAAAACTTTCCACATGTCCATCATCTTAGGCCTTCCCCCTGCCCCAGCAAAAATAAAAGTCAGTGCCTATGCAAAATCACATTCAAGTATGACTTTTACTTGAGATACCGAAGCAGAAACCCAAGAAGTTCTGACTCTCAGTTCCATGCTGTAAACCTCTTGTTATAAATAATTCCAGCCATTACTACAGTATGTGTTTTTCCAAGTTCAGAAATTATGTCATTCTTGTCTTAAAATGATGAAATAGCTCGATGTGCCAAATTTCCAGAAGACAAGATGTGATAGAAATCTGGTTCAGATGTTGACTAAGCTATACATTTTGCCCTGAAGAAAACAACACAACAAAAAGATGTGTGCTTCTCAGCTGTTAATTGAAACAACTCATTGAACATAAATATGACCACAGATTTTTAATGTAGCCTGCCCTGCCCTGCCCAAACAGATGTAAGAACAAATTCTTTTCAAGACTCTCACAAACAACTGTGAAGAATTAGCAGTTTCCCTTGGATGGAAGCAGCAGTTAAGTTAAGGCAGAGATGGCAGAGAGAGCCTTCATCTGCTCTGTTTACCAGGTGCTTCATTGTCAGTGGCAAGAGAGAACTGTGTTAAGGTTGCACAGTGTCCAGCATTACATGATGAGGTTCTAGAGTTCACATGGTAAAAAAGCTTGGCCATGGCTTGAATCCCTGAGCCCTTGGAGCTACATCAAGCTATCTCATGTAACCTGATCCTCATTCTTCAGCTCCACACACAATAGTGTTATATGGTGATGAAAAGCAAAGCTGCCAAATATATGACTTATCACATAACAATAAAACAATAAAACAACAATGGCAATCAACTTATACACATAAGATTTTTCAAGGCCTTTACAAACTTACAAATTGATATACAAGAGTCAAATTCTTCCCTTAGATATTTGGGCATAATTCCCATTGACTTCACTGAAAACTGGATAAGTCAGAATAGGCAATATGCAGTGGGGTAGCTTCATGCAGCTGAAGTGCAACCAATACCAGAGTAAAACAAAGCAGTAATTGAATGCCAACCAGCTTGAGATAGGAAATACTCATTACTAACTGTAGTGCATTTTTAGGATGCCAAATATATTACCAGTAAAATTTTCTATCTTAGTTTCTCTCTCTCTCTCTCTCTTTGACTGTAATCATTTTCCCAGGTGCAGTGCTGCAGCTTCCAAGTTATATCTACTCAAGCAAATCCAAACATTTCACAATCCCCAAGCATATTTCTATAACATCTAAATGTTTGGCCATATTTGATCAGCACTCCCCCTTTAATGCTGATTTTCCTTTTTTTTGAAGCCCAGTGGACCTGCCAAGCTTCTAACCTCAGAAGACATTTTAATCATTTTTTCTAAGAAAATTAAATCCAGAACAAGTAAACAAAATGACAGGCTAATCTTACTCTTGCTAAGAGTATCCAAATTTCCTAAATCCTAAAATACGAAAATCACCCGTCTTAATATCCCTTTCTTTAAGATATATGATGACTTGATCATCCTCTGAAAAATAGTTATCAGCATTACCCATGTGATAAGAGTTCAACAAGCTCTCCACCACTTCTGACTGCACCGATTCACTTACCCTGTAGTAATCAGTGCTGTACACGTCTCTGGACATTCCAAAATCTCCAATCTTCACCAGCAGGTTCTCACCAACGAGGCAGTTCCGCGTGGCAAGATCCCGATGCACAAAGTGCTGTGATGCCAAATAAACCATACCAGCTGCAATCTGCTGAGCAATGTGTAGCATCTGGGATTGGGTCAACTCAGCTGGACGATTACCTTCAGCCATCAGCACTGCATCTGGTCCATGTGCCCTGCACAGAAATACAGAATGATGAAGCACTGGGTTACTTATAAGCTAGAATAAAGGGGGAATTGGCATTACTGGGACTGAAAGAGTCATTAAAGGTGATGACAAAATTGGCTAAATTCATCTGAGAGGCAGAGACTGGCTAAATTTATGTCTTCCCTGTTTTTTCTTCACTGTTTTCTTTTTTGTCAGGATGGGAAGGGGAACAGGTGAATATGTTGCTCATAAAAATAAGGAACTGTGCAACTCACAGCCATACATCCCAGCCCTAACCTGTTACTGCTATTTTAGTCCAGTGGCCTTTTCTGGTCAATGGCTGCCAGATGTTCAAACTGCTTGGTAGCATGAGAATACTAAAGTCAAGATTCATGTTTAGGTCTCTAGAAATGAATGGCTAAGGCACTGTTGCACTACACTACTTCGTTCTTTTAAATGTCCAATAACACATCCATGATTTCCAGAGGGAATTATGGCATGAAACACTTACATTTTTTATTTAAGGTGAGGAAGCTAACTGTATTCAGGGGAACAATAAAGGAAATAAATGGAGCAATTTCAGATTTACACCCTTAATCTACCAACCACAGGAAGTGGCTCCATTAATCCCTGATCTACTTTTGTGGCTGGTGTGAATCAGCCTGCCAGAGGATAGTTTACAAGATAAGACATAGATCACAAAACTCATTCCTGTTGACACAGCAGAGCCAGATGAGAAAAACAAGTTTATTTCACTAGTTCCAGGTTAGCTTTGATGTACAGCATACCCTTAGGAAAAGCTGATGTCGACCACTCACCGGATATATTCCTAGACAGTTCTGAGCAGCTATTATATTCCCTTCTGCATTTAGAAAGCAGTTAATTCACTGTAATGCTATCAGAATAATTATATTATTACTGTATTATGTAGGTTACTGATACTAAACCATTCTCGGGCACTACATATATGTAGATATGCATATAGCTTCACCGAAGTAATTTGATACTTTTATTTTATATATACACATACACAATCGTACGCACCTGCAGTGACAACTATAGGCACTCATACCTGCACATTTAGTTTCAGAGTAATTTCATAGATGTGTCTGTGGGGGGTGGAGGTACACATGCTTAAGTGTGTACATTTATTGTTTAGGAAGTTACAATGTGCTAACTACCCCAAGTGCTTTTAAATACAAAAGAAGGCATAATGCCTACCTAAAGAGTATAGAATTTAATCAAGTTTGACAGATAGGCAGGTAGATACCGTTGCTATATACTATGTACATATATTGTATATATGACACACACTACTTTAGGGCAAGTATTACTAGCCATTCATCCCTAATAGCAAATTGAGGCAAGTTAAAGAGGTCATTTTATTCCACCCATTCCCCATGCAATATATGATTCAATATTCTGCACATTCCTCCTCCCCCACCCCCTGTCTGTACCATTCATTTTTCGAAAAATATTGTTTTCCCTCTGCACCTATCAATTTGATCTTCCAAACAACCTTCCCCTACTACTCATTCTTTACAGCCTATTTTTAAACAACCCTCCAGTGATGACCATTATTTGTCCAAAGAACCACTTCCTCACCCCAAGGCACTTTTTCTGATCCACATGGACTATGTGTAACCCTAATTTGCCCCTAGGAAAGTCTGGGAAAATGTTGCAAATTAAATAAAATCTGTAAGATCAAGTTCTGAAACTACCTATTAGAAATACCTAATAAAAATACCCTGGGGGGAAAAAATGACAGATCAGGGTGATAAATGAAGGAAGGTTTGCTATTTCCCTGATACTGCAGTTGGCACTAGTCAGAAAAGGCACTATTCTGTCACAGAGCTGAGCAATTGTGCAACTGGTGGTGGTTGAAGAAATAAAAGCAGGATGTGAAGTCCTGGACTAACCCCAAATGTGATTTCTTAATGAAAAGCATTGTGCATCCTCATAACAGATTTTTTAAAAGCCTGCTGCTCACACAAGAAGCTGCAAGTCTCTCCTAATTTAGAAAACTACTCAACTTCCACCAGCATCCTTGAGAAGATACTTCTTTTCTAATTAAACTTTTGCTTTTTTTAAAATGTTCAATCCTTCTTGCTCATCTACCTCATTTCCTCTGTAAATCATGAAATCCTTATCTTCAGCAATACACAGCTGCAGGAGACAGTAACTTCCACTGTAACTCTTTCTAATCCACCTCAGTCTTCCTACGCCTGAATGCTGTGCATAGGGAAGTTTTTGACCTTCAGGATGTCACCCTAGCTCTGAAACACAACACCATGCTGCAGCAAGCAGCCAGGCTCAGTCTGGTCCAAGACTGATTAAATGCTGGATTAGATTTCCCTTGATGGCCGTGGGTGGCGCTGCAGGGTAAGAAATAGATACTCTTTTATAGGCCATTTATACTGTTGATCTGCTGCATAAGCTGTGGTAAATGTGAGAAGAATGACAAATTTAAACTGAGGTCAAACAGCTATTCCAGCATACTAATTTTATGTTTTAAATACAAAGGATGATTAAGAAAAAATAAAAGATCCAATATAGGATTCAGAAATTAGCAGTTGTAAAACAACTTCTAACCAGAAAATAAATTCATCAATTGCAATTCTGTATGATTTCAATGCTATTGAAAGGCACAGGATGGATGCTACAGTTCTCTATTGATCCACAAATGAGGTCCAGCATGGCAGCTCCTGAACCTCGAAGTCCCAGCTCTGTTTTAACAAGGCAGTTAAACCAGAAGCTGGAGACAGTCACTATAGGTGAAGCAGAGTTCATCCTCCCTGCCCCATTCTAAAATGCCAGTTAATGTCATTTGCTTTTACAAGGCAAATATTTGCCCATGGGGAATGGGTATGAAATCAGACTCATTTCCTATGAACTATCAAGGTAGCAGCAAATGGTTACACTGTCAGTCACTGTCAGTGCAGGATGGATACAAAATTGGAACTAATTTAATGCTAGTTATGATAGCTAGCCATCACAGCTATAATGATACCTAACATGGCACTCAAGCATTAGCATATCAGTGACTCTGCCTGTATAGGAAAATATGCTTTAAAAAATATACCTCAGGAATTTGTTGAGATCTCCGTGCTTCATATACTCAAAGACCATAATGAGTGGATCGCCCTCTATGCAAACTCCATAAAACTTCACTATGTGCTCATGCTGTAGATTAGTCAGCAACTCCGCCTCTCGGTGGAAGTCTTTCCGAGCATTATCACTAGCGTCTTTTAGTGTCTGGAGATGGAAAAGAAAAATGCATGTCAAAAGCAAAAGAACATGTGGGGAAAGATGAGCATCTTACACTGTGTAAAAGACAGAAAAAAGATATTTTTGTGGCTGCTTTAGATCTGTGAACATGAAATCTGGGGCCAAGTACAACCCTATGATTTATAGTATTTTTTTCTGCTACATTTTATCCTATATTACTATTTAGTTCTATTGTGGCATCACTAAGGAACCCTAGTCCTGGAGCAGAAACCCATTGTGCTAGAGCCTGTATAGTAACACAAAATAAAAAGATAATCCTTGTTCTGAAGAGCTTATTGGTATACAAAGGGCCTGAGTCTCTTCTCATTTATGCCAGTGCCAGGGCTGTCCCGGGGGGGGGGGGGGGGGAGGGA